AATTAAAAAAATAATTCCATCCTTTTAAAGAACAAAAATTTCAAAATGCAAATGAAGGCCCCAAGTAAGCAGTTTCCTAACTTATTTTCCTTGTTTGCTTTCTCAAATGACAACCACTGTAGCTTAGGGATCAAAAGATTTGGGGCAGTTGGGGGTGGGGAAAAAAGCAATTCAGCTCCCCAGCAGTCAGTAGAGGAAATTCTTATCTGCTCCTCCAACTAAATCACTGTTAATTAGAATTACCAAGTTACATACTAAAATCTTATTTAAATAATTGAAACAAATAAAAAAATTGTTTTCCTGAGGTGTTCTCCACAGGATGCAGTTTAATAACAGTAAAGAGAGAAAGAAAAAAAAATTAAGTTGCAAATATTTTATTCTTTGCACTTTTATTTTTTTCATTTTATTTTTTTCATGCTTTACTCAACAGTTATTTCTAAGCCACACTGAAGGCAAGCTAACATCCCAGCAGTTTTCTGCTAATTTCCCATTATTTGCGGTCTAACAGCCTTATCTTATTTGTTAAGACAAGTCACACTCGAAAACAGGCAATAAACAGAAAACAGGGCTTGGGTCTAGGAATTCTGGCTATCAAAGTTAGAGTTATTTTATTTTTTTCTATTTAAGATTAAATTCAGCTGAACCTGAAGCCTCACGTGTAACAGGGTACTTAACACTGGCACTCTCCCTCCCCAAAAAGAATTACTTGCACAGTATTCTTTGGCAACTTTTAATAATTCTAGCATTTTTGGAACTCTACCAATTCAAGACATCCACAAACTCTTATTACCTCAGCCAGGAAAAAGTTAACCTTAACATAGAAAAGTCTCAAACAGCAGATTTACTTTTAACAACTTGGTTCTACAATACTCTAAATTACCAAGAATTGGGTATATTAAATTACAACTTGTATGGGCATATTCAATAGCTACCTTCTGTTCAAAACTGTGTCAAGGACACTTTGATTCTTTACAGAAATGCGAACTTTGTTGAGTCAGAACTTACAATTTTTGTCTGACTCAACTTCTGTCCCTCTGAACACAATTCATTATTGACACAGAAAAATTTATTCAACACAAATCAACAAATATCCACCTAATTATAAAAATAGTGATGTCTTAACACAGAATGAAACTACTCAACCACAGACCCCAAACTTGTTGTTAACATTATTAGCAACTTAAAGCCAACTTGTAGAACAAACACTTTGCCAGTATCATAGTAGCAGTTGGCAATTCTACTTTCCAAACTCCACTAAAGTAAAATTAGTTATTTTACGCTAAAGTTTATTTTCTGTTTTTCCCTTCCTAATCCCAAAAGGAAATTGAGAATAAAGTAATGAGTAAAATTTGAAAATACATGATCTGAGCATATTTTAAGCTGTTACCCGCATTTTTCCCCATCAGCTTCTCTCCTTCCCATCTAATTCGCCTTTCACAAACGTGTGCTTGCGAGCACACGCACAAAAATGCACCTCTCTGTGCTAGAAAATTCAGAATTATCTAAGACTAGCAAGCATATCCATAATCATATTTTGATTCGTGCTCAGAAAATACTTTGTGAATGGAAAATCTGAGATAGAAAATGTGGCTATATACTCAGGCTGCTCAAAATCACCACTGAATCTGTTCATTGTTGGCTTTCAGTGTTCTCTGGAGGTCAGTCTCAGAACCTACTTTAAAAACCTGGGAGTTGTTTGTACTAAAGAATACTTTTATAGTATGCTTTTTAAAAAATGGAAGCAGAAAACGCTGCGGTGACTCAGAATTAACTTTTTAAAGTCATAAATGAAAAAGTTAAATTGCCATGAAAAATACTTGCTAATGTATTTTATGGGACAAACACTTGATTGGAATGGTCATTGCAAAATAAAAAGGCATCATGTTATAAGGTTAACTTTGCCCTATTGCCTCTAAAAGTGTAATTTCACTTTAAGTACTAAAAGATATGCTTTTAACTACTGCTTATGGGTTGTAATCTTTCTTTACTTGAAAATCTGTCAATTTTCTCTTTGTCTTAAAAAAATGAATCAATGCCATATTCAGCCATATTCACCTCAAATCTTTTGTTTTCCTTTGAAACCCCAAAGCATAGTAAACCACTATTTTGACTAAGTGAGCTTATGTTTGTTATGAAAATCTACAAGCAACAACCAAAACTACCTAGCACAGTCAGCAAAGAATTCCTGGAAGGATGATGGTGCATCAAAAGACTAGCAACCCTATTCCAGTAGAATAATAAAAAACCATTTAAAGGACTGTAAATTCAGATCAATGGCAGTTCCAGAAGGAAAACGTTTCTTAAATTCCCCCTTCAGTTTATTTCTTCATGACACAAACCAAAAGACCTCCTATCTAGAGAGCGTTTCTATTGCAATTACTTCATACAAAATAGCAATCAGTTGCTAGGATAAAAAGTCAAGAGAATTCATTTTCCCTGCTTAGAACTCAAGCAATTTCATTTACTTTTGGAAAAAAAAAAAAACATTAGTAGGTATTAAAGAAATGTACATACTACTTCAATGATTTTTTAAATTTTGGCACATTTTCTGTGATCAATTACAGAGATAACGAATATAAAACAGTACACAATGCTTGCTTCGCACTAAAAAATTAAACATCTCACAACAATCTAATCTTTTCCTTTTATATCCATCACACTGTGAAAAACCCCATTTTTTTTTAAACCCAAAAAACTGGTAGCACTAAATTGGAACCATGTAAAATATTAGAGCCATGTAAGCATCAATGGATTGCTCAATAACATCTTTTAAATGGTTCTGATCAATTGAGGAAATGAGACTATAACTGGGAAATTTGATTAGGAGTTAAAATTACCATTGAGTTCCTTAAAATGTACTAATGAATAATTAATCCCAAATGCAGTTCTCAGACTTCCTTAGAACATAATTCTCAAGTAAAACTGAAAATCCTAGAGGAAAACCCATCATCTGAAGTGTTATGCACAGGTGGGTACAGGAAGTATTCAACACACAGAAAGGCACTATGAAAACACATTAATGTGAGTTGTAAGAAAGATCTGCTGTTGGTTTGGGGGAAAGGAAAAAAAAGTCGTGATGAATTTTAGATCAGAATTGACAGCATGCACACGTTAATAGCAAACCTCCACTTAACAAGCTTAAAAAGTCAAAGGCTTACTAAAGAAATCCTTTGTTCCTGTGGTACTGTCTCCTATCCTAACTGGATTCTAGCCTCCTCCTTTGTGACACGGAATTTTATTGATCTCAAACATGTTCACATTCAGAAATTAGTCTCCAAAGACATCCCCTGAGACGGCCAACCACCTAGATACCGCATATCACCGACATCTTTTTAAAAAAATTATTTAAATTAAAATACATTTAAAAGGACAAGGACATCTATCTGGTCAGTAACATCAAGTTAACCAGGCTCTCTTCTCAACATGACTTCTCCCTTACTCTCCCTTAACTGGTTAAAAAAAAAAAAAATACCCACACCAGATCAATCCTCAACAAAGGTCTGATCAGTTAATAAACGCAGAAACTCGCAGACCCACCCCCCAGGCCTCCCCTTCCGCAGCGCCGGGCTCCCGCGGCAGGCCCGGCCCCTCCGTGGCCCTATCTCCAGGTTTCCTCCCTCACACCTGCCAGGTCACTGTCCTGATAGGGAAACTTCTCGCTGGAGCAATTAATTTTTAGTGCCTCCTAACTGTGCCGGGTGTCTGCCTGCAGTTTGAAATCTGGTACTTGTTAGAAACTGCTCGGTCCTGCATCTTTCGGAGAATTGCGCGTTTATGGCGCAGCGAGGGGAGGGGGCGCGCGGCTCCCCCGAGCCCGTCCTTTATTCGGAAACGAGGAGACGTGAAAGGTGGAAGGCAGGGCAAATAAATAAATAAATCGGGTTTGCCGCCGGAGCGTTTGCCGGCCGGGACGAGCACCCTTTGTAATGCAGGCCTCCCGGGGCTATCGCCTGCACTAATTGCTCCAGGGCGCTTTCCAAGTTCAAAAGTTCACCTTTTACGACCTCACAAAAGCTCCTTACACGTTACCAATAAAAACATTCCGCTGCAAACACCGAGGGGGGAAAATATCAAACAGATACAAATAAAACACCCCGCGGGGAGAAGGAGCGAGGGGGGGAGGGCGAGGCGGGTCCCCCCCACACCACCACCACCAGCGAGGGCGAGCCCGGGAACCTGGGGGACCCCGGGGCGGCCGCGAGGGCAGGGCAGGGCCGGGCCAGGTGAGGAATTCCCGGGGCCCCGACCCCGCGGTGGCCCAGGGGGCTGCGGGGGGCGAGGTGGGGCCGGGGCGGGCGCGGGCGCCAGAGGCAGGTGTCCCCAAAAGACCCGGGCCGGCCGGAGCGCGCGGAGCCCGCGGAGCCCGCGGAGCCGGGGCCACGGGCTGCAGCCGAGGGCCACCGGGTGCTGGAGGTCCCGGCCAAAGTGCCGAGCCGGGGACCCCGGGCCCGGGGGCTGCGGAGGGGTGGGGGGGGCCTTGGGGTGCGGCGTCAGGTCGGCAGGGGCAGAAGGGACCCGCGCGGGGCAGCGCGCAGGGGACGGGGGGAGGGGACGGGAGTGCCCGGCGCCGAAAACCTTTGGGGAAGAGACCCCGCGGAGGGGACCCCAGGGGTGGGGGTGGGGGCGCCGGGCAGCGGGACCCGCCGCACCCGGGACCAGAAACGCGGGGGGGGGGGTCCCACGCGGAGGGGACCCGGGGGGGGGGGAGGGAGGGCCCGCGCGGAGGAGACCGGGGAGGGGAGAGGGGTCCGAGCCGAGGGGGCCGGGGGGAGGGGAGGCCCGGCCGCGGGGGGGAGGGGGGAAACGGAGGTCGGGGCCGGGGACCCGGGCCGCAGGGGGAGGGTCCGCGCCGAGGGGGACCCGGGAGCCGGGGCGCGAGGGTCGGCGCGGCGCGGGGTCGGGCGGAGGTCCGCGCCGGGGGGCAGTGGGGAGGGGGGCCCGGCCGTGCAAGCGCGCGGAGGGGAGCGGGAGGGCCCCGGCGCCGCACGCCCCTCACCCACCGTTGCGCGGCGGCGGGGGGAGCGCGGCGGGGGGCTCCAGGAACCCCGCCGAGCCCCCGCCGCCTCCCCCTCCGCTGGGCGGCCGCTCGTCCCGCTCCATGCGGCGGCGCTCAGGGCCCGCGCTGGGCTCGCCGCTCCGCCATGAGCGGCGTCCTCGTCGTCGTCGTCGTCGCCCGCCGGGGGGAGGGGGCTGTCAGGGGCCGGCGGGCTCCCGGCCGCCGCGCTCTCTGGGCCCCGAGCCGCCGGCTCCGCGCCCCTCCGCGCCGCGCCCCCTCAGCACTGGCCAGCTCCCTCCCCCGACGTCACGCGGCGGCGCGGCGCACGGCCGCGCGGGGCACGCCGGGAGTTGTAGTCCGCGCGGGAGGCGGGGAGGCGCGCCCCGGGGCGGCCGCGGGCCGGAGCGGGGCGCCGGCCGGGACCGCGGGCGCCGCGGGGGGAGGGTCGCTCGCGGGGCGCGGCGGCGGGCCCGGCCCGTGCGGGGCGGCGGGGGCCGGCGCCGCCCTCGGAGGCGGGCCGCGGGGGCGCCGGGCGAGCACGTGCGGCCAAGCCCGGCCCCGGGGCGGGCCCGCGGGGCGGAGCTCCGGGCACTCCCCGGGGCCGGCCGCCGCGGCGCGGCCGCAAATTGGACCCGAGATTAAAGGACCGGAGTTCCCCGCGAGGTGACTGCGTTCGTATGCAAATGGAATCTATAAAACTCCGCTTTCCGGGCTATTCTTTAAAGGCTTTTTACCTCCGGGTGGGCGGGAAAGACCACGGTTTCTCTTCCTTCTCTTTCATTCCGGCCCTGCCGGAATGAAGAATGGGCCGGCGCTCGGCGCTTCCAGCCATTGAGGATGCTCTGCCTTGTTTCAAAGGAAATTGGCTCGGGCTCGGGCACGCCCGGGCTCGGGACGCCCACCGGGGGCCGGGGTCTCTTCCCCGAGCCGCGGTCGGCTTCGCTTCGCCGCAGCTCGTCTTTCTGCAAAAGCGGGTGGGAAGAGCAGCGGGAGCCAATTGCAAGGCCCAGCGCCGCCTCCCCCAACTTCCCACTCCCGCTCTCCCCGTCTCCCCCGCCTCAGTTTACCCGGAGCCAAAGCCACGCTCTTAGGGCAAGGTCCCTGCTGGTCCCGACTGCGCCCATCTGCGGCCACCAGGTGGCGCGCGGCCACCAGTCTCTGGGGTGGCCGCAGCCTCGGTCCCCGGCCACCCTCGGGGGGTCGGGTCCCTCGCGGCTCCTTCCTAGGGTTAAGCCCTACCTGGCTGCCCGGAGACAAAGAACAAGGATACACGAGTGCTTTGCCGGCCGTTTCTTTAGTGATGGGGCCGCCGCTGCCCTCTCTGGTTATCCATTCCCCGCCTCGCTAGCCCGTTAGATGGCCCGTGTTATTCCTTGCTTAATTTTTTCCAAGCCCTCATCCTATGCATTCGCATCCCTGTGTGAGCTGACCCAGGCCACATTGCTCATCACATTCCCTGCCTCACCTGCTACGCCCAAGCGTTGCAACGCTTCCCTGCACTTGCAGGATAGTTCATCTGCAACAATGTATTCTTGCCAACATTGGCATAACCTCTCCTGCATCCTTCATCAGGGGTCTGCCCCTGTTGGGAGGTTGGTGGGAGGGAAGGTTGCTTTCACACTGTGTTGGCTAAGCCACACAGGCCTCTGGGAGGTGACTTCAGTACTGGGCTGAATGTCAAACAGTGCCGAGAATCTGAACCTGGGACTCCTGGCTTCACACAGCCCATTCCCGTGCCCTGCTCCTTGCTCACTATCCTACTCAGGCATCTTCCCAGGGACTTACTCTCTCCCAGGATCTCCATCCCCTCTGTGTTCACGCATTCCCTTTCCCCAACCCACAGAGCAGAGAGTTAACTTAGGTGAAGAGAGAGGAGACAGCGACCTAGGTCCCCAAGCTCTGGGGTCCAAATTCTGTCTAGTGACCTTTATAAGGCTCAGATTCCTCATTCTTCATTGGACTTCCTCTGCCCTGGAGATCCAGTCAGGCTCAGAGGCCCCACTGACAGAGCAATAGTATAGCAGGGAAGGCGCTTGCCTTACACATGGCCAACCTGGGTTTGATCCCCTGCACCCCATGCACTTCCAGGAGTAAGCCCTGACTTGGCCAGATGTGATTCAAAAACCATGAAAAGGAAAAAAAGAGAGAGAGAGAGGCCCCACTGAAACCTCCTGACAACGTTGGGGTTTCTGTGAATGACGAGTCCCAATGGGAGCAATAGTACAGCCGGTAGAGCATTTGCTTTGCACGCAGCCAACCTGGGTTCAATCTTCAACATCCCATAAGGTCCCCAAGCATCGCCAGGAGTAATGTCTGAGTGCAGAGTCAGGAGAAACCTCTGAGCATCGCCAGCTCTGCCCCCCCCCACCCCGCCACAGGAGTAACCCCTGAGTACTGCCTACTGTGGCCCAAGAACAAACGGGGAAAAAAAAGTCTCAGTTGACCCTCAAGATGGGCAGAAGCCTAGAAGCCTTGTGTCACACATCAGCCAAGGACTTCCTCCCTCTCTCACCTGGCAGATTTCAGCTCCTCCACAGGCCTTCCTTGATCTTCTGACTTTCATGATAAGCCCTGCTGAGGCCACGGCCTGAATTCACTGCCAAAGATGTGGAAAATTAAGACACACCTCACTTTCCTATTAATAGCTGTCTTTAAGTCACGTTAACCCCAGGCCTGACGCTCAAAACCTGGTTTTCTGGCAGTGATGACAGTTGCTCCCTCATAGGATTGTTATAAGAACGATATACAGTGATGCCTGCAAACTCACTGTTTCAGACATGACCAGGAAAAAAAAACAAACGGGACCTGTTTTCTTTATTCTCCTAATAGTGCTCATGAACCCATTTCTTCTCATCTGAAATTGTATTGGTAAGAGTCAGTTAGCACAAAAGTGAGAGAAGTGAGGGGCTGGAGAGAGTACAGCAAATAGGGCATTTGCCTTGAACATGGCTAATCCAGATTTAATCCTGAACACTCCATATGGTTTCCCAAACACCGCCAGGAATGATCTCCAAACAGAGCCAGGAGTAACTCTTAAGCACTCTGGGTGTGGCCCAAAAACAAAGGAAGAGAAGAGAAATTGCTCTTTATTGAGACTGAGCCAGAAGCATATTGGGTCCTGGGACAACTGCTAAAGGGCTTTTGCCTTCCTTTGTCCCCCCCTAATTCTGAGAAGTCGGTATTTTCTCCCAATTTGCAAATGAGTAAACAGACTGGGAAGGACAGGTAAAAAGAGACTTTCATACCTTATTAGAAGAGCTGGAGGGGCTGGAGCCTCCTACAGCGGGTAGGAGGGTGTTTGCCTTGCACGCAGCAGACCTGGGTTCGATTCCCAACATCCCATATGGTCCCCTGAGCACCGCCAGGAGTCATTCCTGAGTGCAGAGCCAGAAGTAATCTCTGAGCATTGCTAGGTGTGACCCCCCCCCCAAAAAAAAAAAGAACTGGAAAGGAAAGGAGGGAGAAGGTCTCTGTAGGGGAACCCTGAGACCAAAAACAGGGAGACAGGGAGGAACCAGGCAGACCAAACCCCGTTACAAGGGCTGTGCGCCATGCTGGGGGACAGACATTAGGCAAACCAGCCACCCAAACCTGTAGCTGCAGGCAGAGGCCAATTACACCCAAAAACGCATGTACAGGTCTCTGGCTCCTGACTCATTTCGCCTGGGATGATGAGCCGGAGAGACTTCCTGAGATGAGGAACGTCAGAACAAAATGGGAAGACCGGGTAAGAGTGAATCAGTGATTCAGGCGGTTCAGGTAGGAGGAATGACATGCACAAAGGCTCCCGGCTGGCCAGACCTTGGAACCTACATGGCCACTATGGCTTAGGGCAGAGGCAGCATCACAGAGACCATTGCTCTGGACAGGAAGTAGCCAGCAGGGGGCAGTGTTCTCTGGTAACCACAGCCTTTCGTGGCTACTGCTGCCTGGAGATAAATGTGGGAAATGGACAGGGACACACACACACACACACACACCCTCCTCCAGGTTCCGTATAGCTTAAGAACATTTTGTCTATTCTTTGACTTGATAGAACACACTTGACCAATTCACAGAACGCAAAACAGGTTTCTGTGAAAGCCCTCAACACTCTCCCAACTTCCTGTGTTCCCTCACAGTCTACCCACGAGAATACAGCCACCACATTCTCATTTGACATGCCTGTGGTCCTGGCCTTCACGCATCCCCTGGGAGGAGCGCTGCTTGGGGACGAAACTAATTTGTATTAAACACCTATTGCACATCATTCCTGAATTCCTCTGGGAGATGGGGGGGGCATGAACTCCACCAGTTCCCAAAGCCTAAAGCCCTGGAAACGTCATTACAAGAGATTGCTGGTTCTCACCCCTGGAGTTTCAGAATTTGGATGCAGACAGCAGATCCAGCCCCTGGGGTAATGTGAGATTAGGGCCAGGAACCACCCTGCGCTTGGGGAAAGTCACAGGATGTGCCTGTAAAATGAGGTGCCCCAGTCCTCTTCCACGAGGAAAGGGCATGTGCCACACAAACACACCAACCAGAAAGGGAGCCCAGAAGTCATCTGTCGCATGAAGACTGAGTGCCTAAGAGGGGCGTGCTTGGGCGGAGGGAGGGGGAGGGAGGGGAGGCTGCGACACTGGGGCACAAAGAGGAATTTGGCGGCTTCCTGAATTGGAGGAGAGTGGAGAGGGAAGAAGAAGGGGTCTGCACCCCATCTTGTGCTCAGATGAGAGGAGGAAGGGTCGGGATGTGGGTTCAATCCTTGGTTCTGCCAAAAATGTGATGGACTAGAAAGCAGGAAAGGCCAGGTCTGAGAAGGGGGCACCCTCGGGCTCTCCCAGCTCGGGTTCCACTACGGTCGTTCCCAAGACCCCAACAAACAGACATTCCTGCAAACCCTGGCGGCAACCTGAGAAGGGCACCCCAGAGGGCTCCTTGATTTTTGTTGGCTCGGTGCTAACCGGAGTGAGGGGGTTGGGGGAGGAGGGGCGCCCCTGGGGGTCGATGGGAGGGATGATGGGGAGAAGATGAGAGGGGCTGCTGCGCCTGAGGGCTGGCCGCCTGGCACGCACTATTCCCGCCTCCACCCCCGGCGGTGCTCAGGACTTATTCGGGGCTCTGCGCTTAAGGCTCACTCCTGGCGGGGCTCGAGGAACAGTACGCGGTGCCGGGGATCCGACGCATTTTGGGCCGCGGGCGAGGCAAGCGACTCCCTAAGACTTCCCCCATTTTCCAGGAGAGGAAACTGAGGCTCAGAGCGGTTAGGAGCTCAGACCGTCACCTGCCAGGCCC